ATAGAGTCACAAACAAATACAAAGTATTTTTAAATTGCTGGTGTAAATGAGAATTTCAAACAGAAAAGAGGAGAGTGGTAGGCAGTACGGTCAAGCACCCCATAACGTTTCAGTCAACAGACCACATAGATAACAGTGGCCCCATAAGGTAATGATACCATATATATATATATATATATATATATGTATTTTGAGTTGGAGTCTCACTCTGTCGCCCAGACTGGAGTGCAGTGGCCGCTCCCAGCCACTGCAGCCTCGACCTGCTGGGCTCCGGTGATCCTTCCGCCTCAGCCTTCCAAGTAGCTGGAATTACAGGCATGCGCTACCACACCCGGCTGATTTTTTGATTTATTGTAGAGATAAGGTCTCGCTGCCCAGGCAGGTCTCGAACCCGCGGGCTCAGGCAATCCACTCACCTCAGCCTCCCAAAGCCACGGGATTACAGGCTGAGCCACCAAGCGCGGCTGATACCATATTTTTACTGTATGTTTCTTTTTTTTTTTGAGTTGGAGTCACACTTCATCGTCCCCACTGGAGTACAGGGGCACGCTCCCGGCCACTGCAGCCTCGACCTGCTGGGCTCCAGTGATCCTTCCGCCTCAGCCTTTCAAGTAGCCGGAACTATTGGTGTGGGCTACCACGCCTGGCTAATTTTTGATTTATTGTAGAGATGAAGTCTCGCCAAGTTGCCCAGGTGGGTCTCAAACCTGCGGGCACAGGCAATCCACTTGCCTTGTGCTGGGATTACAGATTGAGCCACCGAGCCCAGCCTACTGTATGTTTCTTATGTTTAGATACATTTAGATACACAAATACTTACCACAGTGTTAAAATTGCCTAAAGTATTTGGTACAGAGCTGAGGTGTGAAGTAGGTCTACCCCTAGGTTTGTGTAAGGACACTCTATGATAGTCACACAACTACAAAATCACCTAAGGATGCATTTCTCAGAACATATCCCTGTTGTTAAGCGATGTATGACCATATTGAGAGATGGCCCCAAGATTCTTGTCCCCAGGTGTATACATCCTATGATGTTTCCTTTCAGTGTGGTCAGGATTGTGAATATGATAGGATTTCACACTTTTGATTAGGTTACTCTGTCTGGTAAAGATGAAGGGATTTTGCAGATGTAATTAAGGTCCTTAATCAGATGAATTTGGGTGAACCAAAAGAGAGATTATTCTTGGTGGGCCTGAATGAATCCAGTGAGCCTTTAAAAGAGATGGGTCACTTCCTGAAGGTGGAGATTTGAAGCATGAGGGACGTTATCCTAAATTCAAGAATGACCCAAGGGAAATCTCTAGTAGCTAAGAGTGACTCTTGGCCAATGATCAGCAAGAAAATAAGGACCTCAGTTCTATGACTGCAAGGAAGTGAATTCTACCAACAACCTGAATGACCTTGAAAGATGAACCCTTTGTCTACTGGCCTCATCCTTGTCTCTGGGCCCCTCAAGATGCATCATCCTATCTGTCAAGTGACAGCCGCCATGTTGCCTCAGACAAAGGTGAGACTCAGATAAGGATGCAGCTGGTGATATCTTGATTTCAGCCTGATAAGACACTGAGCAGTTATCCTGGACCTGGTCTTTTGACCCAAGGAAACTGTAAAACAATGTTTTGGAACTCTTTTTCGGAATGGTCATCAAAGCCATATTACCCTTGATCTTCTGAATGTTCAAATATCTTCTTTTCAATATTTCCTTTGTCTTTGAGTAAAGAGAAATGTTACTGGGGGCCAGATCAGGTAAGTAGGGAGGGTGTTTCAATACAGTTATTTGTATAGTGCTGCCCATGTAAGCTCATAGAATTATGGTAAATGTTCAGGGTCTGCTTATGAGTGAGAACATGTGGTACTCAGTTCTTTGTTTCTATGATAGATCACTGAGTATTACAGATTCTAAATTCATTGAAGTTGCTGTGAAGTTCATGTTTGTCCTTCTTTATGGCTGCATAATGTTCCATCATATATATGTACCAACTTTTTTATCCAGTCCAGTTTCAATGGACTGGTTCCACGTTTTTGCTATTGTGAATAGTGCTGCAATAAACATGCATGTGCAGGTATCTTTTCCATTTACTGGTTATATCTGAACCGGGTAACAAAACCCAGAGGTCTAGAAGCCTTGGGACCAAGGTAGCACGTGTGCAAAGGTCAGATTACAACAAGACACCTGAGAAGATACTGGACAGTAAATTCAACAGGCAAGCTGTCAGTCAATGGATGGAAAACCTTGTGAGGGTCCAGCAAAGTCCAAGGTCAAATGATAAGGTACAGCCACTGATTGGTGAGAAACAACAGTAAATGGTCTGACCAACTGGCAGTTATAGACAAGTACTCTGTTAAAAGTGCACAAAAAAATACCTGCACAAAAAAACACCAGCAACTGCTACCCACAGGGCAAATGATTCTGTATTTACTACGAAGGAATTTATATTTAAAATCATAATGGGCTGGGGGTGGTATCTCACCGCTGTAATCTCAGCACTTTGGGAGGTCAAGGTGGGAGAATTGCTTGAGTTCCAAAGTTCCAGGCCAGGCTGGGCAACATAGTGAGACCTCATCTCTACAAAAAAATGTAAAAGAAATTAGCCGGGCATGGTGGTGTACACCTGTAGTCCCAGCTACTTGGGAGGTTGAGGTAGGAGGACCATTTGAGCCCAGGAGGTCCAGGCTGCTTTGAGCTGTAACTGTGCCACTGCGCTCCAGCCTGGGCAACAGGGCAAGAGTCTGACTCAGAAAAATTTTTAATGAAAAAGTAAATTCACTGACTGGGCTCCGTGGCTCAGCCTATAATCCCAGCACTTTGGGAGGCCGAGGCAAGTGGATTGCCTGAGCCCATGGTTTCAAGACCAGCCTGGGCAACTTGGTGAACCTGGTCTCCACAATATATGAAAATTTAGCCAGGTGCACTAGTGTGTGGCTATAGTTCCAGCTACTTGGAAGGCTGAGCCCAGCAGGTCGACGCTGGGGTGACTGTGAATGTGCCACTGCACTCCAACCTAGGTGATAGAGTGAGGCTCCAACTCCAAAAAAAGAAAAAAAAAAAGTAAATCCTCCATCTATAATAGAGCCTTCTGAAGTACCAAATTTATAAACCAGGGTGGTTTTGGACACCATTAAAACTTGAAGCACCTGGGACACTTAATTGTTTTATGATATAAACCATGAGGAGTTTCTATCACCATTTGGGTATATAATTTTGGTGACTACATTATTTACTTTTCCATGACTCACTCCAACTTAAAAAAATCTTTACACTCCATTTTTAATTTTTGGCTCAGAATGACACCATGTCTAAATGCTGCCAGTGGCAAGACCTATTTTGTAGCCATCAAAATCTCAAACATTTTCCAAGGAAGGAGGAGGCCTGCAGGTGCTAGTCCTCACCCTTGTTTTTTTGTTTTAGTTTTTTGTGTTTTTTTTGGTTGGAGTCTCACTGGGATTACAGTCTGAGCCACCAAACCCAGCCTCGTCCTCACCCTTGTAAAGAGACTCTTTCCTGTTCAGAAAATAAAGCAGGCCCCCTTACTGAAATTTGGTTAATTTTGTCATCTGCATATGTGCTATCCAAGGCATACCCAGCCCCTTCAATGAGCAATAAAGGAAATCATCTCTCCAGGCTCTCACCAGAAAGATCAACAATTATTTGTCCACCATCTACTTCTTGCAAGAACCATCCTGAGAAAACTTATTTGTCAGAGATGGAATTAGGGGAATGCAATCTATCCATTCTACCAGGCACTCTAAGTTTTATTGAGTTAGATATCTGGCCCTTAAGTTGTGTGTGACCATGGTCTACTGAGGTAGGCAAAAGACCCGAAGGCCTTCCCATCCTCCTAGTTTTAGGATGAATTGGATCAATGCATGCTGATTGTAAGATCCACATGGCCATGGACTGTACTTGAGAATCCCTGATGTGGATGACCTGAAAGCTATGTTACCTATGACTTCCCCGTCTCCTCCGTACCCTCCACCTTCAAGATAAAATGGCTTTGCTAAATTATCTTCAACAACCTAATATTATAACTTCAGTTTTCATGAAGAGAAAATATAAGAAATGGTAACTGGAAGAATATCTTGGTAAACCTACACTGATGAAGACATTGCTTGTTATACTTTCTCTTTGTATAAGAACAAATGCAGAAAATTTCTTTGAAAATTGAAAACCAGGAAAGTACATTTATTTAGATAATTAAATTTTTTTTTAATTGTTCAATGGGAAATAAATAATGTACTGGCAGCTTTGAAGCTCACAGTTAATGTCAATGCTCAATCACGGTAACTCTCCTAGCCTTGGAATATACAGAGGGTGTCAAAAAGATGTATATACATTTTAAGCGATGTTATATTTTCAAAGTTGAATTGAATTTCGGTGGCAATGTGTAGTATGACATTTGCTCAACCATGCTTCCATCATTTTCTTTGACTGTCCTGCCTGGTGCATGGTGACGCTAGCATTCATTTGATTAATGTCATCATTTGAGCGAACATCATACTTCAAAAGTGTATACAATTTTTGACACTCCTGTATATATATCTTTCCTACCTGTATATTTTTCTATTTGTATTTTTTTATTTTAATGCCCTGCTGATAAAATGCCTTTTACATTAAAACAAAAATTCAAGTGGGATGGTAAACACAAAGCTTTAAGGATACAATATAAAAGCCTAAATCTTACATTTAAAAAATACCATACAATACAGTGGTTAAAAGTCATACTACTCGGTTTTCCAATCCCAACCCAAACATTCCTAACTTTGATCAAGGCCTTAGTCTCTCTAGAATTCAGCTTCCTTCTCTGTAAGATGGAGAAAATAAGAGTACCTCCACAGAGGGTTATTTTAAGGGACAAAGGAAGCACTTGGAACTGTAAGCACTGTGAATGGTTTGCTCTTGGGCTAATGTTAAATTCTATCAGTATATGGTACAATCAAAACGTCCTGCCCTATTAGGCTCTGAACTGTGTCTCCTCCAATGCAACATATGATGCTTACCTACAGTGGCAGATGCTGATGAGAGCAGAGATTTGCCCCAGGAGCCCCAGCCTGCCCATGCTCCTCCACTTGCAGGGGAATCCACAGCCTGTAAAAAAACAGATTCGCCTCAGGTCAGCAACTCATTTGATCCCCGAATGGAAAAACATCCATTCGTTTGAAACAAAGTGAAAGTGTTAAAAAAAACAGTCACCAACAACCATATCTCATTGTATATAAGTTTATAAGGGTCAAAAAAGAATATCTTGAACACAGATGTGTGGAAAAGGAAAAAAACAGCCCCATTAAAAAATGGGCAAAAGGCATGAATAGACACTTCTCAAAAGAAGATATATGAGCAGACAATAGACACATGAAAAAATACTCAGCCTCACTAATCATCAGAGAAATGCAAATCAAAATCACATTGAAATATCACCTAACTCTAGTAAGAATGGCCATCACCAATAAAACAAAAAACAACAGATACTGGTGAGGATGTGGAGAAAAGGGAATGCTTCTACACTGCTGGTGGGAGTACAAACGAATTCAACCTCTATGGAAAACAGTGTGGTGATTCCTAAAAGAACTAGAAATTGATCTTACATATGGCCCAGCAATTCCTCTGGGAATATAGAGGAATTCAAATTATTCTACAAAAAAGATAACCTGCACATGCATGTTTATTGCAACACTATTCACAATAGCAAACACATGGAACCAATCATGCTGCCCATTGAAACTGGAATGGATTTTTAAAAATGTGGTACAGATACATGATGGAATATTACATAGCCATAAAGAAGAACAAAACTATGGACTTCACAGCAACTTGGGTGGATATGGAGTCTATCATACTCAGTGATCTATTACAGAAACAAAGAACTGAGTACTACATGTTGTCACTCATAAGTTGACCTTGAACACCTATCTTAATACTACAAAAAAGGAATTGGCAGTAGTGGGACGCTGCCAGGGGTGGGGGGTGGGGCACACAACAGCAATAAGGATGCCTGATCCTAATCCAGGCAAAGTGAGGTCCAGTGCGAGGTTCAAAACTTCACCTGTACCTAAACCACTTATGTATGCCATCCTGACTTGTACCCCACAACTTTAAAATAAAAATAAAATTTAAAAAGAATAGCCTGCCCCACACTGCAATGTGTTCTCGGAAACCAAATGGATGAGTGGTGGCATTGGCTTCTGAGGGCTTGGTTTGAGGCGAGAAGGGGGTGTGATGTTCACTGGGCCTCAATTCTCTCCTGTGATCTAAAAGGCAGGGACAGGGACTGTGCGGGGCAAAAGATGTAACACATGAGGGCACGGGAGTGATGTGAAAGAGTTCAGAACCACCCAGACAGATGATATCTATGGAGCTAAACAAAGGCGCTCTTCAAGGCAGAGTTAACTTTCAGATTTCTAGGGTGGGAGGTGGGAGCTTTTGTATGGATGAGAGGCCAAGTATCTAGAAAAGCATCAGTAAGCTGGAGATGGATGGGCAGCAGTGGAAGAAAGCTTTGTGAGGTAGACTCCTTTGATTTGGGATGTTTGCTCCACTCACGATGATCCCGTAACACAGAGGGTAAGACTGTCCCTGGTCTCAGTGGATTGAAATTCTTTTGTCCAGGATTTTGGAATTGGAACTGAGAGATGATCCAGTGTAAGCTTGAATAGAAGATGAAAACTCAGACGATGTGGGTGACCATATTACACCCATGCAAACTCAGAATTAAGAGAAATTGAGAGAATTACGGGAAATCAGAGTGAGCAGAATGAAGGAGAAAAGTTCAGAGTTGCTGATTGCATTTCTGACAGCTTCTTTGCCTTGAATTCTGTCCCTCCCTGAAGCCCTGCTACATTCCTGATCTCTGGGTTCTATGAGATTCCCTCATATTCTTGTTCACTTTCTCTCTCCTTTTTCTTTTTCTCTTTTTTTAAAAAAATGTTTTGTTAACTGATATAACCCCAGAGCCTAGAAGAGTGTCTGGAATATAATGAGTGCTTAATAATTATTTGTTGAATAAGTGACTGAAATTCATTCATTTTCTCAGGGAGGTATGCATTAGTTTCTGTTACTTGCAATCAGTGAGTCCTGACTCAGTTAGTGGAATCACAGCTTTCTCTTCCCATCTGGTAACACATTCTAGAATATGAGGCAAGAATAAATACATTAGAGGTAACTATATGGAGAATCATAGCTCTTGACAGAGAGAGAGAGAGAGAGAGAGAGAGAGGAAGTTAAGGAGGAAATAAAAATTCCTATAGAGCTTGTAGATTCTATAACTTTTGACCCACAGCTGGTCCATCAATCATCCCTACTCCCGTCTCCCTTGCTATCTTCCATCCTTGCAGATAGGGGTGGCCATTGTGACCAATGATGTATATACATGTGAAAGGTTTTGCTTTCATGATAAATCATATGGTTATAGCTAGTGCCAACTGTTTCCTCCTCCCTTTTTCCATCCCTGAATATGGACATATGCTTGAAATTGAAGCAGTCTTTTTTTTTTCTTTTTTTGAGTCTGGGTCTCACTCTGTCACCCAGGCTGGCATGCAGGAGCACAATCATAGCTCATTACAGCCTTGACCTCCTGGGCTCAAGTGAGCCTCCCACTTCAGCCTTCCCAGTGCCTGAGAATACAGGTATGCCACCATGCCTGGCTAATTTTTACAAAAAATTTGTAAAGCTGGTGTGGTGGCTCAAGCCTATAATCCCAGCCCTTTGGGTTGCCAAGTCGAGAGGATTGCCTGAGCTCAGGGATTCAAGACCAGCCTGGACAACTTGGTGAGATCTTGTCTCTGCAATAAATCCAAAAATTAGCCACCGTGGTAGCGCACGCCTATAGTTCCAGCTACTTGGAAGACTGAGGCAGAAGGATCATCTGAGGCCAGCAGGTCGAGGCTGTGGTGGCCATGAGCATGCCACTGCACTCTAGCCTGGGAGACAGACTGAGACTCTGACTCAAAAAAAAAAAAAATTGTACAGATGAAGTGTTGCTATGTTGCTTAGACTAGTCTTGAACTCTTGAGCTCAAGCAATCCTCTTGCCTTGGTCTCTCAAAGTGCTGGGGTTATAGGCATAGGAAGACAGAAACCATCAGATAAAAATTCTGCAACTTGCCTGATCCCCATAAACTTTCAGAAGAATGTAAGCCTGGCCAGAATTAGTTATTTTTGCTGCCATAAGGGAATAGCCAGGGGATCACAGTCACTGGTCCTGGCTCTGCTGATATACTAAACCAACATGAGTAGCTGCCTGTTTCTATTATTTCTAGTAAGTGAAAAAAATTGCTATTTTGTAAATAACGATATGTTGGATTTAGTTACTTCTACCCAAACTCATTCCTAACTGATTCACCTAGCAAATATCAGATACCATCCATCAGTGTAGAGTACTGATCAAGAGAAAAGTTTATAGAATTAAATTGCTTGGGTGTGACTCAGGGCTCTGCCATTTTGGACAAGCTATTCAAGCTCTTTTATGTTTTCATTTCCTCATTACAAAATGCAAGGTACAAAAAAATAAATAAAATGTATCTTTCTGAAGAGGTTAGAAAAAAAGCAAGGTACAGGAGTTATAAGTATAAGAACCAATAATCTCACAGGGTTATTGTAAAGATTTAAAAAATAATAATTCCTATAAAGTTGTGAGCATAGTGCCTGGCAAATAATAAATATGCCATAAATGTTTGATAGTAACCACGATAAGAAGAAACGATATGTTTAAGATCAAGAAGCAAAAAAGCTTTGAAAGTTGGCTGTCATTTTCTTTCTGTCTGGAACAATGAAAGCTATTTAACATGAATGGAAATACTAATGACTCATGACTGTCTGCTTTCATTTTTGCCATCTACAGTGATTAACTTCACTTCAGCAATGGAATCCAGTGGCAATTTTATATCATTATGAAGACAGATGTAAGTCGGTGATTAATATCATTCTTTCACAGGACAAATCCCTACCCATGATTAGTAAGAATTGGGGTGACAGCTTCTGACTCAAATTTACAACATTTATTATGCTCTGACAGCTGGTAATTGACTTGCAAATGGAAATAAATGCTAAATGAGTCTAGAACTTCTTGCTGTATAATAAGTTACTTCAATTGCTTTATTAATAAAGTCCTTTGACATTGAGATGTGACTTCCTGATCAGTTACAAGGAATATTTGTTATCAATGGCAAATACTCAAATGACTAAATACACACATTTAATATAAAAACATATCAGCTAAATATTAATTATGAATTCTAAATATATTTCATTATGAATGTTGTCTTCACTTTGAGTGGCCTTAACAGGTAGCATGGATCTAGTCAGATCTCCCATCATGAAATACAGTTATTTTAAAGCTTTTTTCTCACCTCCCCCCTATGTAATTCTTATTTACTTCAATAATTTCACAATCTAATTCTCAGAGAAGACAGAAACCATCAGATAAGAATTCTGTAACTTGCCTAATCCCCCAAAACACTCAGAAGAACATAAAATAGTTACAGCAAATATTGAAACATAGAGTTCATATTGTAACAACAAATCAGACTTGGCTTGATCAAGAGATATATTCAAAACTCAACTGGAGATCATTTAAACATCTATAACTTTTGTGTGGCCCTAAGAATACAGGATTCCATTAAGGTCAGAGTTCTTTAAATGAGAAAGACATTTATATATCTAATGTCCCACCTAAAGATCTTTACCATCAAGTGAAAAATACATTTATTTGTTTTAGGCTATCAAGTTTAGAGGTATTGTTAGATAGGAAAAAATTACAAATCTCAGAATTCCATCAAATTCAAAGTTTTGCTTTTTTTTTTTTTTTTTTGAGTTGGGTCACTCTGTCACCTAGGTTGAAGTGTAGTGGCATGATCTTGGCTCACCAAAGTCTCGACCTCCTGGGCTCAAGCAATTCATCTCAGCCTCCCCAGATTTGGGACTATAGGTATGCACCACCACGTCTGGCTAACTTTTTATTTTGTTTTATTAATTTATTTATTTGAGTTGGAATCTCACTGTCACCCAGGCTGGAGTCCAGTGGCACCTCACAGTCACCCAAGCATTGACCTGCTGGGCTCCAGCAATTCTTCCACCTCAGCCTTCCAAGTAGGC